GAACAATAAGCAATCAACGCAATAACTAACAAAAAACAATAAATTCATATAGGTATAATATAAGTTTACAATATTTTTATAATTATGCTACTGATACTCACGATATAACGATTTAGCTTGGTTTTGTTTTTATCGGGCCGTCGGTTGTTGGCTACCTTGACAAGGTTGTTCGTTGTTTCCAATTTCACAACGCGAACGTCGAGGTGCCTAATAACCGCTTCGAATGTGCTCAAATCCATGCTCGAATTGCTCGAATTACTTCCAGACTTCCAGCTATTGCTTCATCTGAATGTATAGTGTGAACCAAGCGCTATAAACTGCTTTAAACTTGCTAAAACACGCGGTAAAAAAGTAAAACTGCTTTAAGTGAGGAAAAAATTACGTCTGCTGTGTTTTTTTAAGCATGACGTGAAATATTACTGTAGTTATTACAACAATATCTAAAAGTTGATTTATTTTAGTTGTTTTAGAAAGATCTAATCACCAGGAGAGTAATTTTACAATATTAATATTTGTTTTGTTTTAACGGCAAGAATAAAATGAACAGAACTTTAGTCGCCAGTCTCAAATCGATTGTCTATACAAGGCAACAAGTCCACGATATAACATGAACATATTGTTAACTTAAGCATACTTCTTAGGCTAAGAACAAACACATTACACCTACACCTAACTGGGGCACAGCACAAATTCGTCTAGCATAGATCATAGCAGAATAAAACAAGATAAAATCTTATTTTTGTTATAAGAAAATAAAATAATAAGGTAGAGGACAAAAACTTCAATGTAATAATTATTTGACATTATAAGGTTGCTTATAAATTTAAAATTAGTGCTATAAACAGATTAAATTTGGTCATTTTATTTAATAAAAAGTAATTGTATAATTATGCAATGATTTCAATTTCTACCTGTCCTAAAATGGCTAGAAAGTAAACCATTTTATAGTTCAACCCAATAAGATTATAAGGTAATGCTTATTAGTTCAGTATTTTTTATGCTGTGTTACAATCGACTTCAATTTCAATCAATTACAGATCAATAGGACCCATTCCAATTTATATCTGAAATATATTCTACATTCTACATTCTCTCTTCTATTTTCTTGATTTACTCATTCAGTTGCACATTTTATATACTTGGATTGTATAGATTCTATATCAAGTCGCTATTCAAACCTGTATATTTATTTTATTCGGCATTCCGTGCAAATCGCAAGTGACTTGGCGGACCTGACTCGCGTGAATGTGCATTAAAAGATTGTCAGCAAAGGCGGTAGGTCGGTAATGTATGACCGAGCGGCCAATTCTCGAATTATATTGCTTATTTACTCCCACGAGTATGCAGGCAATGCTGCGAAAGCACCAAAGCAGTGGCAAAATTGAAAAATTTTAGTGTCCTGCATGTAACAACAAAGACATAAAGACTATTGTGACGTAAGTAGAGTATAAACCACAAGCAGTACCAAAAAAGTATTAGAAGCGGAAGTTAAATGTTAATGTCAAATAAAACACGCGTCACGCTTAATAAGACATTATGCAAAGTCTAATTTACGAACGTAAACGATTTATAATAGAACTGCAGTCATTTTCACTAACAACTAGCAACAACAAACATTTAGAAGTTAAAACAATAGTTTGCAAGTGTAACGTACTAATAATATAAGAATAACACTATCCACAATAATTTTTAAAAATGTAAATTAATCATTTAATGTAAAATAGATAAATAATGAGTAGCAATCAATGTGAATGTTGGAATTAAAAGCTTTTCGATAGTCAGAATTATTTAGAATTATCACGCTTATTTACTCACTTTGTGCCTACATGCGTTTCGTGGGATATTGTGCGTGAAAAGTTTCGAAAGTCAAAAAGTCAAAAACACACGCAGAAATTCTTCACAGGCACTCAATCATGACCAAATAGTACTCTTTAGTTTGCTGCCAAGAGGCACACGTTTTAATTACTCAATAAATTACTAATTAGTTTCACGATTTATACATAAAAGTTTTTATCCAAATCAATACAACGTGTAATTATATCCAAATAAAAAGTTTGTAATTATTTTTTATGTTGGTTGGAATAGGAAGATGATATTTTGTATCGACAATGATAGAGTAATAAATTTATAGTACTGATTAAATTTATTAAGCGATTGATGAATATGTTAATTAACTGCCAATTAAAGTGATTAACTAGCTTATATTAAAAATTAAAACTTAGTTTATGATTGATATAAATTAAAAATTTGCTTCCTAATAATAAAATGGGATCGTAAACAGATATTATTAATTTTTACGTGGTATTTTAGTTTTAGTAGTGTTTCAGATAATTGTGTTGTTTTACAGTGAAAATTAATAATAGGTGTTTGTTTAGTTGATAATAACTTGGTTGAAAAATATTAAAGATTACATAATCGAAATGCGCGTTAAACGCGCAAAATTATCGTCTGTTCGCAGACGAATTCGTTGGTTGTTGCCGACAGAGAACGGTGAATCGCTAAGTAACGAAATGTTACCTATTCTCATACCTTGCGTCGGTCGCAATCAGAGCAGAACGTTGTAAATACAACGCGTAATTGTCAGACGTTTATACACTCACACACTTTTGTTATTCTCCATACTCAAATGTTAAAATGTGTTTGTTGTAGAGGTGTAGACAAGTTTACCAATACACATGTGAGATTTATTAAAAGAAAAATTTCATGAAAAAAATAAATTGAAAGAAAATAGTGAAGGAAATACAGTGCTAAAGTACATAATGTCCCTGTAATTTGAAAATTAAATAAGTGAAGTAAACTAATTAAACATCGCATAATTTATTTATGTTGCAGTAAATGGGTGTACTTGAGATGTGCATAATTTATGATGAGCTTTAAATTAATTCTCGAGATGCATAAAGAAAAACACTCTAATAAAATAATTTATAACACAGCTACAATAAAAGATGCAGTAATTTATTTGAAGTAAATTTTATTTATAACATTAGGAAATTCCAAATTTAATTAATAAATAATTTTGTTATATAAATCATTTAAAAAATATATATATTATATAATTTACAATGAGAGTCATAGAAAGTAATCTGCACGATCCTCATAATAAATTACTTATTAAACTTAATACTTTGATCTCTTACCAACCACATGTCTATACTTGTATCAATATCGATCATTCAGTGTTCACATGCTCAAGTTAATTAAATTAGAACCGAAATGAAATTGTTGATTGGACAGCTGCATGCCTGGCTTGATTCTAATAAAAGTAATAACAATAAGCATAACACAATCACAATCAAAGATTCGATATTGCTGTTTCTTTGAGATAGATAAATGTGTGTGAATGTGTTTGTGTGCAGAGGTATCAGTTGAGGGAATGTCCGACACTCTTGCTCGGCGTAGATTCGAATTATGCAACGTAATTGCGGCACTTTTATTGCGTGTAATTAATAACTGGCGAATTAATAGCGCGACGCATGCCTTGAGTTACTGGAATGGCCGATTACGTGCGAATTGTCCGCTCAATTACCTTAAGACTGGAAATGCCGTTGGTGCTTTGATATTATTGTGTATACATGATTTAATTGCTTTATCTACTTGAACAAGAATTAATTATTATTCACTGTCATACTAAATTATATATGTAGGTACGTTTTATCGTAGTTAAAAGATGAAAAATATTAAATATTTTTCTTAAATTCACAAAAAAATGATAAAAAGCTGATTTGTTGTAGTAAACCTAGTTATAATGAGTATAATTTCATGATTTCAATTAAATTGTAAGACGGTAGCACACCTTTCGGCTTAGTTCAATGTCGAATGTGTGGCGTTGACGAAAAAAATCGCAAAACGTGTTTGAACGAAAGAAATCGAAAACAATGCAGAACTTACGTAGTGCACACGATTTGTTGCTGCCGAGGCGACATAATAAGGCGCGCAAATGAGCGTAATAACAATAATAAACCTTTCTTGATTGAGATGCCCTACGGCGAGGTCGCTTCCAACAGATTCAACGCAAAATATAAACAAAGAAACAAAATACTACGTTGTTTGGTGTTAAAATCAAAGCAAAATCAAAATGTTTATCAAAGTTATAAGTAGCAAACTTAATATTTGAAAGTTTATATTTAATTATTTAAATTTATTTGGCTAACAATCATAAATTTCTACTTTCAATCTTTGTTAATCTCTTGAGATCTGACGCGCAATTGAATTATGTATTGTGCGAAACGTGCTCGGTTTAGCTAATTATATAATTAGGGTGTAACTCAACATAATAATTGTTTACCACACCAGTTCAATTCCTAATAACAATCCACATCCGTTTCAATTCTGCGCACATTCACAAATCGCACACGCGCACCGGAATGGAACACGAACATGGCACCATCATGTGAATATGTTTATGCGCCGCCATATGATCGATATATGTAAAAAGCGCCATTTCATTAGTAATTGATTAGAATCGACCTTGATTGCTCTTTCTAATAATACAAATAGAGCACGCCGCGGCAACAAGCAATACTGGCAGTAATGCGCGTTATTACGACCACGAGTGAATGAGTATTGTTAGAAAATGGCCTTTTTCCTAGCTCCTGCAAAGACTTCAGTGCTAGAGACACATTCATAACTTTCTGTAATGACAATGACAGGTTTCCAATGTTTAATCTTAGACTAGTTCTCGGTTTTGTTCTGGTCTTGGAATAAATTTTATATTATTGAAATTTAATTGTAACCGTTGTTTGCAGTTGTTGCGTTGTGTCGATTTCGTTCGGTTTGCTCAAGAATTCCATGTGTTTTGTAACTGTCTGACTGGCCACGTAGGCGATTAAATATGATGAAAAAAATCATGCATGCGAATGCAAAGAAAATGCAAGAAAACAACAATGTTGCAAATTGCATATAAACACATTATCCATTCGGAATTATATCTATTGCTTTATTTATGTTCTTGAAATTGTACATTCCGTTATTAATTAAATGCGTATTTTTTGTTTTTTTAGTTATTAATATCCCAAACGGTACTGACGGTTGGCTTGCCGATACCACGACAAGAGCACGCGGCAGCATCGGACCTCATCGCCGGCGAAGCATTTTTGAGCATTCTGATGGGAGGCCTCGCAAACGTCCCTGTCACAGATTTACATCGCCAGCAATCAGTTGATGATGAAGAATCATACCCATTAAAAACCCTACGCACATCACGCGCTCAACAACATGATCCAAGTATCGAAATTACAAAAACCAGTGATAGTGACTTAGATTCTACGCCTAGAATAGAAATCAGAAACGATATTGATACTCAAGACCCCAACCTTCATAATAAGGAAACTGAAGACGGTACTATTATTTCGGTCAGAGTTTCTTCCACGATAGGTCATTCTATGATCAACAAGCATGTGTATACAAATAAGGAACAAAATGAAGAAATTGAAGAAGTTTTGGATACAACTGAACAACCTACGACTACAGATATAAATTTTTCTAATGGATTGAATGATGATTTAATTCAGGTAGACCAAGAAGCGGTTGCTTCTGAAGATGCTCCTAGTTTGATTGCCGAAGCTAACAAAAGTGAGTTCCATGTTGAAGAAATGGAACCGATTAGCAGAGATTACAATGAACATTCAAGTCATCAAAATTCACACCCAAGTTTAAACCCGCCTAGTCCAATACCTTTTGATGGAAAAACCTATCCTGGGACGTTGATTTACCATAATGAAGGTGGTAATAACAGGGTTAGGTCGGTGTCATACTCCACAGTGATTCAAGCATTGCCATCGGTACAAAAAAGTTGGACACCCGGTACTTTAAATACTCCTGCAATACTAAACCCGGTTCAGGATAATGGTGCTCATCAAAATAATACAATGGATCAACCTGTTGATCAGGGTCATCCAATGCCTGCGGTTAATTCAGGTGCTGAAAGTAAAGATTACTATGTGACTTCAAAGTATGAGGATCCTTCAAGATACTATTCTCCTGAACCAACTGAAAGAAATTGGGGTGTTCCCGAACAAAATTATCATGAACCTTCAAAACCTTATACGCCGGTAGTCTATGGACAACCTGAGCAAAACTACGAGGTTGATGAAGCAGTGAGTGTGGAAACAAATGGTAGAGCTCATGGTATACAACCAGTTCAAACAATTCCATCCACAAATCAAGACCCCAACAACCCGCACCATCACGCTCAGAATCCTACTCATGGAAAAGTTCTTCCGGGGAAAAAGGATGATAATCAGAAGGTTGGGTACGTCGTTGAAGGAAGAAACTACAGGAAGTATAGAGTAGAGGAACGCACCTCTGATGGGTTTATAGTTGGAGAATACGGAGTGGTTCGTCATGATGATGGATCCTTGCGAGGGGTGCGTTATACTGCCGATGGAACGATATCTCCACGGTTGATCTACGACGCATTGATGAAGTTTTTGTCGCTGTAGAACCAAATAAAAATTCCGGTGCCTTAAAAAAATACTTAATATTTGTGTTTGAAAATTGCATAATTTTTAAATATTAAAACGAATATTTCCATTAGTAGTATTTTAAGATAAATACTTCGATGTTCTCTTGAAAAAGAGACGGCGACGTACTGATTACCTTCTAGTTCCTCAATTATTATCAGCGTTACGAGTATACATGTGAATTTCTGGAACAACTCTCTAATCGTTTTTATAATAAAAAATGAAGAATATAACTTGAGAGCTGGAATAAGGCATAGAACAAGTCTCGATAAAATCAGAAAATATTTAATGCGAATGACGACAATAACGGTGTAGAATCAATGATAATTGACACGTTGCTCACTCTAAACTTTAATTTTTAACGAACGTAATTAATCTATTTTTATAACGTACGTTTTAATTAATTATTGATTAATTATTATAATTTGATACAGAGAACAATATTGTGTTTCTTGTGACAATGCAATATTTTTATGTAGCTAATTTAGCAATCTTTTTAATGTAATTTTTGATAATAAAATTAAAATCTGTATTTTAGTGAAGTATTTTTTTTATATTATTCCCTGTTTTCTAACGTTTGGTAAAACTTAAATAAATATAATATATTTTTAAATATGTATTTCTGAAGGCGTTGTGAACTTTGCACCTACCTTTTTATCCCACATGAATAAATATATTGTAATTTATTGCACAATTTGCGTTTGATATATTTAACAAGTTCCGTTATACCTATACTTAACACCACCTTTGAGTTCCACTTTGACTATATCAGGTTTGAAAGAGGAAAAAAAAATTGCACACAATGTACGCCTTTGCTATTTGCGGAAGGTAATAGCTTCAAAAACACATGTTTATAAAAGGTTTGATGTGGTGATCTTATTAAAATTATATAAATTTTTATTAATAACTCACGATATGCAAATCCCATCGTGGTGCACTTTCTGAAGTGTCAAGGTTAAAGTGCTTAAAGCAGACCAATTTTGCCTGAATATTGTGTGCATGGAATAATGATATAAGATCTCAGTTCTATTTTGTTGGTTTTCGAAATCCAACCATTGGTGTGGTTGTGTGACATGAGACCTAATCATTGGTGTGATTAGTTGTGAACTGCTAACCATTGTAGTGGTTGAGTAGATTGCCAACCATTGGTGTGGTTGTGTAACTTCTTCTTCTTCTTTAGGTGCCTTCTTCATTACTGAAGGTTGGCAACAGTATTAGCAAACTCTTCTCTATTCGTTGCTGTTCTCAATAAGGTGTGTGTGTCTAATCCTGTCCACTCTCGTACATTATTAAGCCATGAACATTTTCGTCTTCCAGGACCTCTTCGGCCCTCTATCTTTCCTTCCATGAGTAGTCTTAAGAGTTGGTATTTTGTTCCTCTGTATATGTGCCCCAGATAACTTGTTTTTCGGCGTTTCACTTGTTGTAAGAGTTCTCTGTCTGTTCCCATCATTCTGATAACGTTCTCATTTGTCATCCGTCTTGTCCATGGGATTTTCAAAAGTCTACGGAAGACCCACATTTCGAATGCCTCTATTCGTTGTATTATTCGTTTTCCCATTGTCCAGGATTCTACTCCATATAGAAGAATAGAGTATATATATGTTCTCACAAAACGGTATCGAGTATCAAGTGATAAGGTAGTATTTGTAAGTAGTTTCTTCATTCTTATAAATGTGGCTCTTGCGCTTTCGATTCTTGTTCGAATTTCGATTTCTGGATCCAAATTTTGGGTTATCCATGTCCCGAGGTATTTAAATTTTTCAACTTCCTGAATTGGTGTTCCGTATATTTGGATATTGGTTCGTAGGTTTTGATTCCTGCTGATGACCATTACTTTTGTTTTAGCAGTGTTTATTTTAAGACCATGTTGATCTCCTGATGTCACTATTCTATCCAGCAGTTCTTGTAACCCCTCCGGAGTGTCTGCAAAGATGACTGTGTCATCCGCGTATCTTATGTTATTAAGTATGTCGCCGTTCACCTTAATGCCAATATTAACATTCTCCAATGCTTCTTGGAAAATATATTCGGAGTATATATTAAACAAAAGAGGTGAGAGCACACATCCCTGTCGCACTCCTCGTCCGATTGGTGTGTCTGATGTTACGATATCACCAAATCGTACATAGCCTGTTTGCTTCCAATATAAATTCTTTATTAGGTGAACATCTTCGTAATCTAAGCCCTGGGTTTGGAGTAATTGTATCAGTCTTTGGTGTTTTATGCTATCGAACGCTTTTTCATAATCAATGAAACAAAGATATACATCCTTTGATTGATCTCTACATTTTTCTAGCAACACAGTTAGCCCGAAGAGTGCTTCTCTAGTTCCTAGCCCTAGTCTAAATCCGAATTGTTCGGGGCTTATATTTTGTTCGCATTTCAGATAGATACGTCGGTGTATGATTTTTAGTAACACCTTCAGGGTATGACTCATTAGGCTGATTAATCTGAAATCTGAACATTTTCTTGCTGCCTTTTTCTTAGGGATCGGTATGAATACCGATTTGAGCCATTCTGGAGGAAAAATTCCTGTTGTGTAGATTCTGTTAAAGAAGTTGGTAAGCAATTGAATATTTTCTTGGTCTAATAATTTTAACATTTCCGTGTATACATTATCTGGTCCTACAGATTTCCCATTCTTAGCCGATTTTATAGCTGAGCTTACCTCTGATGTTAAAATATTTAACATTGGTTCGTTGTTATACTCTATTTGAATTTCTCCCCTTTCCTCATCAAATACTTCACGTATGTATCTCATCCATTCCTCTTTAATTTCTTCTTGGTCTGTAATTATTTTGTTGTCTTTTGTTTGAAGGAAGTTGGTCTGTATTGCACTTTTTCCTGTTCCAGTGATTTCCTTAACTTTTTTATATACATTAAACTGGTCATGTCTTATTGATCTCTGAATGATTCGTTGGGTTTCTTTATATTTTTCGATGTTTGTGTTCTTATATTTCCTTCGAGTTTCCATTAGATCTAAGATTTCTTCAGTCATCCATCTTTTCTTTCCTGTTTTTGACACTGTTTCAAGTTTTTCGGTTTGTATTTGTTCGATTGTGTGCTGTAGAACATGCCATGTTTCTTCGATCGGTTGTCCTTGTGCTGTTTGTTTAATTGTATTATTTAATTGTTCTGTTATTTCGCTGCGGAGTTCTGGATCTTTTAGTTTCTCGAAATTAGGTCTTTGCTGTTTGTGATGTTTAATTTTCTTTAGTTTTATGTGCACGGTTCCTACAACGGGATTGTGATCGGATCCGATGTCAGCTCCAGGATAAGTTTTAGCTCCTTTTATTCCATTCCGGTAGCGCCTATCAATTAGTACATAGTCTATCTGATTTCTAACTATGTTGGTTTTTGTGTCTCCGGGTGATTTCCAGGTGTACAATCTTCGCTTGGGCAACTTAAACCATGTATTTGCTACCATAAAATTCTCTTCTTGGCAGAATTCTACTAATAGATCGCCTCGTTCATTTCTTTCACCCAGACCCCAGTTTCCGACTATGTTTCCTACTCTTCCCTGTCCTATTTTGGCATTTAGATCCCCCATGATAATGTTGATTTCATTCTTTTTTGTTATTTTTAATATTTGTTTGACTTCCGTATAGAATTTCTGGATCTCATTTTCATGGCTTTCCGAGGTGGGAGCGTACACCTGTATAATATTAATATCCCTAGGACTAGCTTTTAGTTGTAGTAAAGCCGCTCTATCTGATAGTGGTATAAAAGATTTAACAGCTTTGCTGTTCTTATTTTCTATTATTATTATTGCGTGTGACCTAATCATTGGTGTGATTAGTTGTGAACTGCCAACCATTGTAGTGGTTGAGTAGGTTGCCAACCATTGGTGTGGTTGTGTGACATGAGACCTAATCATTGGTGTGATTAGTTGTGAACTGCCAGCCATTGTAGAGGCTGAGTAGAATTTCCAACCATTGTAGTGGTTGTGAAATTGTTAGAAGTCAATCATTCTAGTGATTGTGCTTGATGTTGCAAATCATTGTTATTTTTGTGATTTTGTGAAATGTAATATTGCTGCATATGAGAGAGATATGACAGAGATGTGGTCAGAGATGACCGAGTGATTAAAATTTTCGAACAAGATTCTGAGATTTACTTTGTTTTACAGAATAAGCCACACGAGGACGTGTGTGCGCAGGATATATATATATATATATATATATATATATATATATATGTTTTACAATGCGATTATTATGTGTTTCGAACCACATTATATTATCTAGTAATGTTTAAACATTTATATTGCAATCCACTATTACCATATACATCAAAATATACAAATTATTGTTGTCATTAACGGAAGCGTGGATAAAGCAATTTCATATATTAAAAATGTTATATTATAAATAACGTATTCACAATAATTTCTGAACACTGATCGATATTTAGAGCTAGAACTAATAGCTATACAACAAATTGTTATTATCCATCATTCCTGGTAGTTGCGCACCAAATTTTTATAAAATGACGGATGTTAGCAGCATAAGAGACGTATCGCACAGTATCCAAGCATTTTGCGTTTTCTACGTACGCAGCAAAAATTGTTTTAAAACAGTGTTATGGGAAGTGATGTATATTTCTTGCATTTGTGTATATTTCTGTGGAAATTTTGGTTATCTTTACAAACAGTTCCAACTGGGTGGGAGTTTTGCCGATGTTTCATTCAATTTATCGATGGTTTTTTCTGTAGTATTTAGCCTTTATGTAATTTATACTATCAAATGGTATGCAGATATTGCAGTTAGTCTGTTTGACGATATGGATTCCAATGTATACTTAAAACTAGACAATAAAAAACTTCAAGAAGGATATCAGTGGAACAATACAATTCAAAAATGTGTTTATCCATTTGCAATATTTTTTGCAATATTTACGTTCTTGTTTGTTGAATTACTACCTTGCGACATGGAATTGCAGCCGTATTCATGTGGCTATGTAGTGCCCAGTGTAAATATTCCTAATTCATTATTTAAATATATTTTAAATAAATATCAAATTTATATTCCAGTATTTTTCGATGGAGATTAATCATACTTATCGGGCTCTATACAATATAGCTATTATTAGTTTTCTTATATATCAAGCTATTAGCGTACTATTACCAGTTATTATGGTGTATGGTATGCTGATATATTTGGAAATATTTTTCGAACAGTTTCAGGCAACTCTAGATGATATCACAAATTCTAACAATCGCGAAAGTCGGCATGATCTTTTATTATTAGCTTACAAACAGCATATGTCGATAAGAAGGCTAGAAACTAATATTGCATGTAATTATTATTTAATTTTTTAGAGCTGTAATGTTTTAGATTCTGGTTTAAAACAATATTAATGTGCAGATCGCCGATTTTGGTTCAATTTTTAGTCTCTGGACTAGTCGTAGCACTAATATTAATAACAGAATTAATTGTACCTATATTTCTCTGATGTAAATTACTCTTAGTATTCAAAATATTTATTTGTAGAAATTTGATATGCTTTCGGTGTTTCACTTAGCAGTTTATGTATGGGCCACGTTCATAATAGGATATATTGGCGAAAGAGTGATAACTTTAGTAAGCTGCACAATACATTTAATGAATAAAGTGATTTATGCCAGTTTTAGGGCGAAAATATCAGAGAAGCTACTTTTTACGCTTGTCCATGGGATGGTGATATTCAGAGTGTGCGGATGCTTATGTTTATGAATATGAATTCCTATCGTGGATTCGTTTTTCCTCTTGGAGATTATGGATCTTATTCGTTACCGCTTGTGCTTAGTGTATGTAACTAATTCATTGAGAGATTCATCTTATTCTTATGCGACAATTTTTCAGGTTTTCAAGTTTGCTTATTCTATTGTTATGCTTTTTCTCAATACTGCACAAATTAAATTAGTGTGAATGTTTAACAGGATGTTTATTATTAGAATAGAGAATGTTTAGGGGTAGTAGATTAATTTTCTGGATTCTAATATTGTGGAAATTGGGATAATTGTGCACCGGCTGAATTGTACAAAATAATTGAATCTGTTTCCGACTAAACAAACCGTCAGGACAATGAATTTAATAATTTAATTTAATTAATTAATTAATTTAATTTAATATATATATATATATATATATATATATATATATATATGTGAATTTGGGAATGTTTATAATTTGTGATATATATCTTGAATGTGGATCAATAACAACTGACTTCGATGGTGGTCCGATAAGTAGGTACTTAGCATAAAAGAGAAAAAAGAAAATTTTGGAAAATTAGCAATTTATTTCTCAACATAGTCAAGCGGTCTTTTGATATGCCTACCTTCTCAGCTATGTTGCGCACCTTCAATCGCAATTTCCCCTTTAAAAACAAGAATCAAATCATCGATCGATCTTTTTCCATTTGTCTAAAACACGCGGACACACCCACTTTCACACGCGGTCAAAGCAAAACTAGAAATTTGATTTGGCCGACATTTTAACCTGTCTATGAAGACGTAGGTACTACACGAGACAAACGTAGACAATATCAGATGTTGAGTCAAAAAGTTGAACTGAATAGGTAATATATTTAACATGGAATTCAAATAGATGTCATAATAAATTTACCAATATAACGTATTTATACAAATACTAAGTTTTCTATTATCCCCGTCTCCCTTTGTGCGATGCTTCGTAGCGTAGACGTGTGTATGTGTGTACGTGTGGGTTGAAATTGACCGGTTGATGTTTTTGTTTGGAGAAGGTTACTAGGATACTTTTTAAAGTGAAAACTTTTTTAGAGAACACTAAACGACACTAAAAGGAAACAAACATATTCGCTTATATGGTTTAGCCTACGGGAAAAAAAGAGCACATAAATTTAATGTTTTTTTTTATCTCCGTCTCCCCTTTGTGCGATTCGTAGCGTCCCCCTAAGCATATACGTGTGTATGTGTGTACGTGTGGGTTGATGTTGACCGGTTGATGTTTTTGTTTGGAGAAGGTTACTAGGATACTTTTTGAAGTGAAAACTTTTTTAGAGAACACTAAACGACACTAAAAGGAAACAAACATATTCGCTTATATGGTTTAGCCTACGGGAGAAAAAGAGCACACTAATAACGTCTCCTCTTTGTGCGATTCGTAGCTTCCCCCTAAGCATAGACGTGTGTATGTGTGTACGTGTTGGTTGAAGTTGCCCGGTTGATGTGTTTGTTTGAATAGGACATAGTAAGTGTAGGATACTTATTTTAATACTTTTTGAAGTGAAAACTTTTTGGGAAGATACTAAACGAGGTTTCTCCGTCTCTTCTTTGTGCGATGCTTCGTAGCTTCCCATGCAGCGACTAAAACGATCAAATCTTATCCGACAAAACCGTAATTCAACTAGGATTCAAAGGATTGCGAATGAAAGGACTGAAGAAGAACAAGAAATTGCACGTGAAAAGCGAGGCAGAATAAAGTTTGCCGGGTTAGCTAGTTATACATAAATAAACAAGTTTTCCGAAGATATAATAATAAAATCGTTAAAACTAATTTTTAAACAGCTTGACAGCTTTTGCAGTTACGTCGTTATAATAGATTTGGTAATCAATGATACACGAAGTTGTTGTCACGACTCAAACACGCGGCAAGTTTTACCCCAAATAGTTGCATCAATCTATATATATAAGAAAGTCGTGTTGGTTAACTCCATTATAACTAAAGAACGGCTAATTCAATTTAGCTAAAAATTGGTGGAGAGGTTGCTTAGGGCCAGGAGAAGGTAATAGGATACTTTTTGAAGTGAAAACTTTTCTAAAAAGGCACTAAACGACACTAAAAAGAGACAAACATATTTGCGTATATGGATTATCTTGCGGGAGAATAAGAGAACGCAATTTCTATTATCCCCGTCTCCTCTTTGTGCGATGCTTCGTAGCTTCCCCCCTAAGCATAGACGTGTGTATGTGTGTACGTGTGGGTTGAAGTTGACCGGTTGATGTTTTTGTTTGGAGAAGGTTACTAGGATACTTTTTGAAGTGAAAACTTCTTTAGAAAACACTAAACGACACTAAAAGGAAACAAACATATTCGCTTATATGGTTTAGCCTACGGGAGAAAAAGAGCACACAAATATAATGTTTTCTATTATCTCCCTGTCCTCTTTGTGCAATTCGTAGCTTCCCCCTAAGCATAGACGTGCGTGGGTTTGTACGTGTTGGTTGAAGTTGCGTAGTTGATGTGTTTGTTTGAATAGGACATAGTAAGTGTAGGATACTGTTTTTAATACTTTTTGAAGTGAAAACTTCTTTGGAAGATACTAAACGAGTTTTCTCCGTCTCTTCTTTGTGCGATGCTTCGTAGCTTCCCATGCAGCGACTAAAACGATCAAATCTTATCCGACAAAACCGTAATGCAACTAGGTTTCGAAGGATTGCGAATGAAAGGACTGGTTATTTACTGTTCAATACGTCGTGTTCATAGATTGGCCTTGTATGTATTGTGTCTTATCTTTGTATACGTTGTGCACACTCAGCCTGGATGTGCGCTGTTACTTTCTCTTTGCGCGCACGCAGGTATATTTTTACATGATAAGAGGTCAGTTTATTTTACCGTCGGCTGGTTCATGTTCTGCACTTCAACTCGCCACGTTGCTTGTGCATTTAATTTAATTCGTTAATTGGGTCTCTAATGCAATAGCATACCGCCTGTATTTAGTGGTAACTAAAGTGTATCGAGTCTTCGTTATTTTTTCGTTTGTGTGTGTTCTCAAGCGTTGAATAATAATTATATATCTAAATTATGCATCGAGGAAATTTTTTTGAAGTTACTAAAACACACGGTTCGCGTGTTATTCAGAAAAAACTACAATTTCTAACGCAACGAGTTGGGCTGGGAATTCACCCTCGTATGGTGCCCTGAATACGAGTCACTTCTACCGCTACTCTCGTACGGTGCCCTGAATACAAGTCACTTCTACCGTTACCCTCATACGGTGTCGTGAATACGAGTCACTTCTACCGACCTCATTGGTCCTCAAGACATCTTGTCTCTATTCCTGGAACATAGACGATGATAATGTTTGTTGTCGAAATGTGTGCTAAATATATTGAAAAACTACTTGAATTTTCCGCACTCCGGCGGGAATGAACTTCTTAAATATGAATTAAACAAACTGCACACAACGCGACATCATCCGCGAGAAACACGTATAAACTGTTCATCAAACGGCACGAAACAAAACAATTCATTGAAAAAACAAACGCAACCAGATTACATTGAAATCGCACGATAGTTGATGTAGGATAATACATATAATACAGACAATAACTAAAAGTTGACATTGCATTCCTTCTCAATAATATATCTCATAAATTAAACAAATCATTATTAATGTGCCCAATTAATCCTTATTATTTTATACTATTTTTATTTTCTAGATGAATCTACTATTCACAATGCAACTGGGAAGTTAATTTAGAATACAAATACTAAGAATTAATGTATGCACTTCCTTGTGTTTCGGACAACTTCTATTGACGTAAAAGAAAGTTGCACAAATCTAGAATGTAATGCAAATGTATTTTAATCACTATTATTGAAAATCACAAGATATCAACGTACAGCGTCCGACGGCAACTCACTAACGGAAACACGCATGCAGTTAACACAATATATTGATGTATAAATTGTAGCAATTATAAGTATAAATTGATTATCGTTTAAAATGATCCTTTTTCTATAACAACAAAAACAAACACCCCAATAACGCAAATCGTTCCCGAGATATGAGCCAATTTTCACGACAAAACATGAAAAATATTGAAAATTGCTCAATTTTAAAGCCAATTTTGAGGGTACTCACGGCCGAATTTCGGGGCTGTCAAATGCGTATCGTTTAAAATGACTCTTCTTCTATAACGACAAAAAAATAACACCCCTTTAGCACAAACCGTTCCCGCGATATGAGCCAATTTCCTCGAGGAAACATGAAAAATATTGAAAATGACTTAATTTTGAAGCCAAATTAGAGAGTGTTCCCCGCCGATTTTCGGGGGTATCAAATGCGTATTGTATAAAATGATTCTCCTTCTACAATAGCAAATAAAGAATACCCCAATAACTCATACCGTTCCCGAGATATGAGCCAATTTCCACAACAAAACATAAAAAATATTGAAAATTGTCTAATTTTGAAGCCAATTTTGCGGGTGTTTCCGGCCGAATTCGGGGGTTTCAAAAACATATCGATTAAAATTACTCTTTTTTTATAACATCAAAAAAAGAACACCTCAATAACGCAAACCGTTTCCAAGATATGAGCCAATTTCCACGATGAAACATGAAAAATATTAAACATTGTTCTATTTTGAAGCCAATATTGAGGGTATTCCTGGCCAAATTTCGAGGATGTTAAATGCGTATCGTTTAAAGTGACTCTTATGCTACGATAAGAAAAAAAGAACACTCAAATAACACAAACTGTTCCCGTGATATGAGCCAATTCTACTATGAAATTTGAAATTTTAAAAATTTTGAAAATTGCTTAACTTTAAAGCCAATTTTGAGGCTCTTCCCGGCCGAATGCCGGGAGCAGCTTTTGCGTATCCCTTTAAATGACTCTTCCTCTATAAGACTAAAAAGAAAATACCCCTATAACGCAAACCGTTTTCGAGATATAAGCCAATTTCCACCATAAAACTTGAAAAAAATTGAAACAGCCTAATTTTGAGGGTGTTTTCGGCCGAATTTCGGGGGTGTCAAATGCGTATCATTTAAAATGCTTCTTCTTCTATAACAACAAAAAAAGAACACCCCAATAACACAAACCTTTTCTGAGATATTAGCCAATTTCCACGACTAAACGTGAAAAGCCAATTTTGAGAGTGTTCCCGGCCGAATTTCGGAGGTGCTTAATCAGTATCGTTTAAAATGAAACTTCCTCAACAAGACTAAAAAGAGAACACACGAAAAACACAAACTGTTCCCAAAACATAAGCCATTTCCCACGATGAAACATGAAATGAAAATATTGAAAATTGC